AAAAACAGAAGGCCACAGCAAATGGTTCAAAATAATGTACATGGAAGTAATTTTCTGAATAGACATTTTATGGAAAATTTCTATCTTTTATTTAAAAAATACCTATTCAAGCATTCTAATTTAATAATAATCTAATCAATTTAAGATACCTGTTGAATTTGATGAAACTGGAGTTGTCAAATTAGGACTTTCCACAGAAATCAACATAACATCATCGTTACTAAAATGATAAAAAATGGTGTATGAGGAGGCTAGAACATACAAGTAGTACCTAGAATTTCTCTAAATCAACCTTTCATTATACACTTTAATTATTTATATATTTGGTACAGGGTCTCACTGTGCAGTGCTAACGAAGTGATCCTCCTGTTTTCAGACTCTTCAGTGCTGACATTACAGGCTTGTACCACCATGCCTGGTCTTGATGGCCAGCTCAGTACTTCCAGGGGTGGGGCTGGAGTGGCATGTGGTGCCAGCGAGTGAAGCCCAGTCCCTGCACTTACCTAAGCAGGAGCTTAGTCCCATGAGTTATCTCGCTGGCCCTCATTGCACACTTTTTCTTTTTTGGTATTTTAGGACAGGGTCTACAAAATCTCACTACATAGACTGGATTGTGATCTGCTTGTGTTCAGTCTCCGAAGAGCTGGGATTACAGGCGTGCGCCATCACGTGAGTCTCTCATTACACATTTTAAGTGAATAATTGTGTTATCAGGAGAGGAGGCAATTATTTAACAAGTCCCATTTATTACCAATTCATTTAAAAGGTCAAAAGTAGATGGATACTACAAAGACAACAATATGCAATGTATTAATTGTTGTAACTCTCCTACCAACCTATTCTGAAACTGTTTCACTGCAATTTTTTTCTCAATAACATTAATAAAAAATAAAAAAAGCAGATGGAGGGCTTGGGATATAGCTCAGCAGCATAGTGTCTGTCTATCAAGCTTAAGTTCCCAAGTTTGATCCTCTTTACCACAAAAAAAGATGGAAACACAGTAACAACAGATCTATAAAACTTAGTAGAGGGCCAGTCATGGTGGTGCATGCCTGTAATCCAGTGCTCAGGAGGCTGAGGAAGAAGAATTGCTTTGAGTTTCATGCCACCGTGGGCTACATAGTGAGTTCAAAGCTAACCTGAAATATTGAACAAAACCTTATCTCAAGACAAAAAACCTTAGGGATCTATTCACAATGATTCATAAATGCACAAAATATGTAAATAGTACTCCAGGACATAATTTGCCTTCATCATGAAAACAACATAAAAGTAAGGGAAACCATTAAGACTTACAGTCACTTTGACTCTGGAGGATAATCCTATATTTAAATAATTTAATAACTTCCACTATTCTACCATATATTACCACACATTTTCTGTGCTGAATACAGAAAATGATACTGCTTTCAGTTACAGAACATTCTGAGACATCACTTTCACTGTCATTTTGATCTTGACCCCATTTTTATGAGATTGATATTTTCAAGCACAATTCTGTTATGCAAACCTTGAGACAAATTGCATTAAACTCATTACAATGCTAGAATGCCCAGCACAATTATACCATTTTCTTGTTCATGGTTTACATTTTTAGCATTCATATTTGGTCTAGGATTCTGAGTTAGTTTTTGTGTATGTGTAAAAAGCTGAGTTTTACTTTTTCCCTTCTAGGTATTCCAGAAACATGTACTGAAAAGAAAATCATTTACTTATTAAATATTCCACCATGTTATTAGTACACATTAATTATACAGAATATAAGGTCTCATGGTAGTTTCACACTTGTGTGTATGGCACTGGGAATGGAATCTAGGGCCTTTGCACTGTGTCAAGGCTCTAGACCTTTTTTAGAATTCTGAGATAGGGTCTCACTAAGTTGCTAGGTTATTCAGGTTGGTCTAATTTGCAACTCCTATCTCAGTCTCTCAGAATTCATTATAGGGTTGGATCACCAAGCCCAGCTTCAATTGTTGTTATTATTTTGTAGTATATGTTTGCAGTACATACACTCCACTCCTTGTATGGAACTGGTACATGTACACCACACCTCTTAATTCCTTTATTTATTCCCTTAGACCCACCCCCCTGCACTTCTTTTATTTTTTTTACATCAGATATTTTATTTTAAAGAAAAAAACATGAAAACAATGGTACAAAATCTCAAAACAAGATTTTAGGAGAGTAACAATGGTTAGTACATTGTGTATTGTTACTCCCCCTGCACTTCTTAATCACATTAATATTTGAGAAAATTTACCTGCCTACTTCCCATTATCTTTTTTTTTTCTGGTATTTTACAAGATCAGAGAAACTTTTTTCACTATGTAGTGGAAGCTGGCCTTTAATTCACTTATGCAGCCCATGCTGGCCTCAAACTCTCAGCCAGCCCCGTGTTAGCCTCCAGAGTGCTGGGACTGCAGGCATGCTCCCCATGCCCAGCCAGTCTTCATGTTTTTACATTGGCATTTCATTTGAAACCAATGGACTATATGATACACAAGTACATGTTCTCTAGTCTCCCTGCTGAGTTATGTGTTTATTTTTAAACTAGCACCGTTTCCTTAACTACAAGTTTTATAGGTCCTGAAGTAAGGAGAGTAATTCTTCCAGTTTTACATATATATGTATATATATAAACACACACTTTTTATTATCTTTTTCTTTTCTTTTTTTGGAGGAACTGGGGATTGAACTCAGACCCTTGAGCTTGCCAGGGAAGCGCTTATTCTACTGAGCCATTTCCCCAGCCCCCACACTTTTTATTTTTTATACACATTTTTTAAAAAAGGTTGCTTACTTCAGACTAAAGTATACAGAACAATGTAAAGTGACATAATGTTAATGGGTTTTCTTAATTCTTTTTTTTGTACTGGGTATCAAACTCGGAAACCTTGTGCTTGCCAGGCTGACACTTATGCCACTGAGCTATCTCCCCGGCTCTAGTTTTCTTGATTCTTGAATGTGGCATATCTCATTTGTTTAGGTTTTTGTAATTTCTTCAATATACATTATAGATTTATAGCTTTAAGTTTTACCAGGGACTGAACCTAGGACCTTTGCATTATGCTACACTCCCAGCTCTTTATTAATATCACCATCCTCATTATTACTATTGTGGCAGGGTCTTGCTAAAGCACTTAGAGGACCAGATGCTCCATCCTGACCCAGCCTCCCCCACAGCTGAGATTATGAGCTTATGACACCATGCCTGGCTAATTGATTTTATTATTTAAAAAAACCCTTCCTGTTTAGCCACATATTTACTACTTCTGGAAGGCTACACTATATTTCTACCTGCCTGGAAAACTTCCTTTTGGGGGAGGGGTGGTGGAACTGGGACTGAACTCAAGCCCTGAAGTGCACATTCTACTGAGCCATCCCCCCCACCCTAAATTTCTTGTAGTGCAAGACTGCTGCTAATGTAGTCTCCCACCTTATTGTAGTTTAAAAACATATTTTTTCCCTATACTTCTGAAAGATATTTTGGCTGCATATAGAATTCTAAATGGTTAACTTTTATTTTTCAATACTTTAGAGATATCTCTGATTTCAGTATTTTAAGTATCACATGCAGTATGGTAAAAAAAAATTAAAACAATTACAATAAAGGCCACATTGTTATTAATAACCCTAAAAATACTCACCCACCCCAGCTTCAAGTACACTTATCCCACCACTCTTGCCACTTTGTGAGGAATTCTGGAGTCTTCTTTCATGAGTGTCTTAATTCACTGTTGTGGCTGCCTTGGGTTCTGGACTAATTCAAAATTACCTTTCTTAGTTATTTTGACTTTGGGGAAGAGCCACAGGTGCATAAAGCCAGAGCTACTAAGGAAAATGAGGACACACCACATGAGTCTGCTTTTCCTCTGGATGCCACTCAGCAACAGTATTGACCATGTCTTTGTACTCATGAATGATGACTTCCTGTCTACTCTGTGTTTCACTTTACTATCTTTTTCATTTTGGGTTTTTTGTACTTTCCATTTCTCTCATCTTCATTCTCCTCTGTACTGCTGAACATGAATAAAATAATACAATAACTCTCATGGCATTATCTGCTAAGTCTATCAAATATAATCCTTGTAGATCTATCACTACATTCTTATCTTTGTTAATGCTTCATTTTTCTCTTTTTTTTTGGGGGGGGGGATGGTGTTAGTGATCGAACCCAGGGCTCACGCATACAAAGCTACAATCTCAGCCTTTTCTCTTTCCCTTGAGATAAGATCCCTTGTGTTTTCTGCCTCAGTCTTCCAGAGTGCTGGGATTATAAATGGTTTAATTCTCTGCAATAATAATTTAATTAGGTATCAGACAATGTGAAATTTGTGCTTAGTGGTTTTTTTTTGAGGAACCAGGTATTGAACTCAGGACCTTGAGCTTACCAGGCAAGTGCTTAGTCTACTGAGCTATCTCCCCAGACCTGTGCTGCTTAGTGATACATGATGTGTCATCAAAACTGGACTGTTTTCTGAAATGCAATTAAATTATTGGACTACTTTGATGCATCTGAAGCTTTCTTGGGAGCTTTTTTCTATGTGTGGGTTCTTTGTAGTTATTGGCCTTGGACTACTTTAGCTCCACTAAAGCTACAGTCATCTGTGGACTCCATGTACAGCTCATTTCAGGGTCTCTTCATTAGAACCACAGAAAAAGCACTACATTCTCAGTCCTCCTGGCAAGAAGAAAAGCAACTACTATTCAGTGTCCATGAAATTATTTGGCCTCTTCCCAGTGATTCATCCCCTGCTTCATATAGTTTCCTTTTTGCACAGACAGATCCATAGTGAGACACTGATGGAAGAAGTTTGCTTTGCAGACCTTCAGAGCTCCATCTTTGTGCCATTTCTTCTCTTTACTGTTTGGATTCACAAATAACCAACCCAGACTCTGTAAGCTCTGACGTAAGCTTAGCAAACCACTAAGCTCTGTCTGGAATCACTCATTCCTGCCTCTTGACTTGGAAAATACTTGCAAGTTAGTAAACTGGACTAATGGCAGGGCCTGTTTCATGTGTTTCCCTTTTCTCAGGAATAAGAATCTACAGCACTGAATAAAATTTTGCCATAATTCCTTTTTTAGCCTTTCAAATGGTTTCTGGTAAAAGATCAATTTTTACAGTCATTAATGCTTCATAGGAAGAATGAGAAACTTTCTGCCTATTTTTATTCTGTTAAAAGAAAAATCAACTCTTTTCTATATACATTTTAAAAT